AGAGGCAGAGAAAATCAAAAAGCGGCAAGACAAGAGGGCATGTGGCAGAAAGAGAGAGAAGAGCGAGTGATGTCATCATTTGTGCTGGGCTGTGCTCTCTCCTCCCCTCTGTCTCGCGTCATTGTACATACATACACTTACCAGTGGCAGAGAGGAAGACAGAGAAACACCCACCCACATTCAGCATCCTTTCAATAGCAGCTTAGCATCAGTATCCAGGACTGTCCACCTCACTGTCAGGTAGGCTGGATCTCACTCTTAATAACACACACCCATCCAGAAGTATCTGTTATACCTACAAGGTCAAACAGGGCTTTAAGCATGAGATATGGTTAGCATGTTTTTATAGTACCATTTTCAGATACAGTGCTCTGCACATTTTGTATGTCTCCCTTATTTAACACACCTGATTCAGATCATCAGCTCGTTAGGAGAGAGCTCTGTGAACTGAACTGAATGTGCCAGATAAGGGAGACATGCAAAATGTGCAGAGCGAGGGGGTCCCGCAGGACCAGGATTAAGATATGATATAGTGTACATGTAGATGCATTATTTGAATATGTACAATAAGTGCATACGGAATAAAGGAATGTAAGCCATATTACTTGCTTACCAGAGCCCTTTCATTTCTAATAATACAAGAGTTTCGCAATTTCGATTTAATCTATTTATATTTTGTATGGATTTATGGATAAAAGACCCAACATTAGAGCGAGAGAGAGAGAGAGAGAGCGCACAGCTGAAGCTAATTTAGTAAAGTGGACTTCATTAAATTAAGGCTTTTAGTGTGAGTAATGTACATTTCGTGTGTGGTAAATGAGCATGATATTTGTGAGCATGGAAGATGATGTAACAGAGTGGGACAGTAACTCAGTGTTACCAGCACAAGAACATTACAGCAGCCTTCACTGTACATAACCAGCAGTACATGACAATATTAATAAAACAGTACAGCATTGAGTAAAAGAGTATCTATATATTTAAAACAAACAATTAACTATATATATATATATATATATATATATACAT